GGCAGTACTCCGAGGAGGAGAAGTGGTCGTGTGAGCAGGAGAGGGACCTCTGCATGTCCACCCGGTCTCCTCCGTGCCCGCCACTGGCCAATTTCCTTGGCTGGCATCCCAGCCGGCTGCTGAGGACGGGATGGTCACTGCAGAGCGGGTTGGAACGCGAGGGCAGGCTGAAGCTTGAGCTCCTCTGCATGGTGGCGAAGCCGTTGGAGTAGCGTTGCACGCTCCCCCCACTATAACACCGCCGTTTCTCCACCGGGGTCCAAACCTTCGAGCCCAAGGGTCTCCACGAGGTCCCACAGCTCGACATCTCATCCGAAAACGAAAGTGAGCGGCACTGGCGCTTGCTGGGGGGAGCTGAGGGGTTGCCGTGGGGGTCGCTGAGGCTGAGGTCTTTGATCAGGTTGGTGACGGAGCAGGTGCTGGTGGTCGTCTCCCTCGGCCAGCGTGAGCCCTCCTCGCCCTTGTCCGACAAGCAGTCCCAGATGCTGGCGCCTGGCTGCTCCAGCTGACCCTGCTGAGATCTCTCCATCTGTCATTTTCTGGTTCAGAAAGGAGAGGAAAAAGAAAACCCACAAACAAAAAACACATACACACAGCATTAGCATTAATTAATTCCCTGATTCGCTTTCTACGTCCATAAACTAAAAAAGTAGCATATGGGACATTTTCCAGTACAAATTAATTAACTCTTGGAATATGGTTTTCTGAACTGCCAGCAGAGCGGTTGCTGCAGTATAGATGGAGAGAGAGACAAAGTGATAATCACAGCAGGAGCAAAACTGCTAGAAGAAGATAAAAACATGCCTTTGAATATCCAGATTGCACCAGATAAGGGAAATTCAGCAATATAAAATGGTATGGCCATTGCTTTATCTCTGGGCTAAATCACGTCTCAGACGCGTGCAGTTTGTCCCGGGCTCCACAATCAGTAATTGTCTGAGAGTTTCACAAAAACTGGAAGCCAAGAGCACAAAGCTGGAGCACCGCTGGGGTGAGATGGACCTCGGGGGACAAGACACCAGAAAGGAGATGAGATAGCAGTTGGGATGGTCCTAACAGAACAGGGATGCCTCCCAGGCATTGAGCTGCCCGTCGTAGCACAGAAATCCCAACAACGCCATCAGAGCCTACAAGAAACCAAAAGCCATCCTGGCACTCATCGGGCTGTCCTGCTCTCAGCATTGATCCAGGGAAACCAACTTATCTCCGCTAAGGCTCTGAGCAGCTCTCCCAAACTGACCCAAAGATTCCGTGTCTAACAGAAGTCGGTGCACGTAATAAGCTCTAAGACAGCTGATGCTATAAGAGATGCACAATAAACCTCCAGCAGTTCTTTGCAATTCAGTTCTTAAGTCCCTATTGCAGAAGCTCATCATCCATCTCTCCTCCATCCCTCATATCTGGGGCCACCGGCCCAGGTGCCCCCCTGCCCGGTTACCCGCACGGAGCAGGAAGGTGCTATGGAAACTGGGTCCCCACACCCTCCAACTCTTCTGCGGCAACCTGGGCTTAGCACCTCTTCGGGGTTGCCTTGAACATCCCAGCTGTGTCTGGCACAGGCAGCTGTTTGCATTTCTGTAACCAACATAACACTGAAGCATTTATTTAAGGGAACAAACTACTTAGTAGGTTCACTTTAAAAAAAAAAAAAA